AAATAAATACAAATCAAGACAAACCTAATTTCAATAATTTTTCATTTTGTGGCAGCATTGCAGTGGAGGTGCGCATAGTTTTTATTTACTGCAGTTAAACCATAGATACTAGCGAAATGAGCTTCGCCTCTTTGTCCAACTTTTTGAGAAATGAAATGAGAAAAATGTTTTCTGACCGTCATCGTCACCTGTTACAAAAGAAAGCCACTAGAACCTTACTTAGTCCGGACTATTTCTCAATCCCTGTTCCGCTGCACAAGCGAACTATTTTGGTGCGGTTAGCGTAAAAGTTGACCCCAAGATTTACCTGAGACAGCGTTTAATAGCATTTCTGAAATTCCCGGGACTATTATGAACCGCTTTATGACTTAGTCGAAAATTACTAACCGGTTTATTAGTATAAGTGAAGTTTACCAAATCTCACGTTTAGAAATCCAAAAGTGAAAGACAATCGGCAAATAGCAAAACTCCCGCCTTGTTTACAAACTTCGCACTTTAATTTTAACGGAAAAGAAAAAACAAAACAGTATCGCGTCAAATAAAATATGTGAGAAATCGGTGGTCTACAACGGATGTGATCTCTCCCATACGGACCATCCGTTTCCTTGAAGCTTTTGTTTAGATTTTCCCATCGCGATCGTAGACACATCGTATCTAATTTGTACGATTTTTATTGACTTGTCCATTTCACTGATGCGACTCACCGATCATTACGTTCTAAAAACCTAGTTTGTTGGGATGCTTTGGTCTGCTAGTCTCTATAATTATACGTGCAGTAGTATATTTAAAGCGAAAAGATCAATAACAAATGTATGAAACATAAATCAACCTTGTAATTTTGATTGAACTTTTTTTCCTCTATATATCTCAGTACGCGCCCCGTATATTTTTACATGCTAAAACTTTTTACTTTCGAAATAATTTCCTTGCCGCGCGCGGTGCGAGTTTAATATTACGTTGACAGCCGATTAAAACAACTATATGTATCTAGTTCGCAATTTACATTTCCCTATTACTGTTAATAAAAAAAAGTAAATGGAACCACTTTATAGAACAAAATGAAATAATCCGAACCTAGATATTAAAACTCCATTCCTGTCAACCTTCGAAGGTAAACTGGCTGCGGCTTTCTAAAGAAATTTATCAGACGCTGAAAGTAGTTTACTTGCCAACAAATTAATTTTCCTGTAAGTTGGAAAACAACGGTAGTTATTGAAAAAAAAAGTATAGTTTTAGGTTACGTTGTCAATTTGACAACATTGCACAAGTTCAAACCGCTCCCATAAGACTTTTGGTTAGAACACTTAATGTCGAAGTAGGTAATCAATATATTTTTCAAAAATGAGTTTTGCATTAAAAATTATTATTAAATGAAGCATTTCCGTCATACACGGCAAATTAAAGTTTTTTGTGTGCTTTCGGTACCCGATGGGCAACAAATTTCTGCTAATTTTTTTCTGAGCAACATTGTTTTAGGTTCAGGAAAAAACTGTTTATTCGCGCTCCCCACGTGTTGCTGCCAGGCTAATGCTCTCTTTAAAAGACGTTATTTGATTATAATTTAATAATTAATAATTATTTTGTATATAACGAAAATTGGAAAATTTGAGAATGTTGAATGCAGAAGAGAAAGGCTTGCCTCAACTTCGTTCTTTTCATTTTTCTGGGATTTTTTATTATTATGATAAAAAGAATATATTTGTTAGCGTAAAATCTTCTATATATGTCATATACATTACAATTTTAAACTTTATTTTATAAAATAATAAATAATATAAATATTATATAGCAGCACAAACATACACAAATTGATAAGTAAATATATAGCACACACAACACCCAAAAGTATATTTTCAGACAGGTACAAATTTACATTGCTTTAAATTCTGTTAAATATAAGTTTTTTTCTACTCCCGTCTGTAATTGTATATTATGCAACAAGTGCGGTAAACAGCATTTGAGTTTACGAGTTTATTTGACACGAGCTGAGCGAGTGTTTAATAAACGAGTGACTTAAAAAGTTTACCGAGCGTGTTGCATACTATACTTTTTCTACGACCGTTCGTTTTTGGGGTACATTTTCGCCAAACACGAATACATTCACTGACATGGCCGTCAGAACTGACAAACGTCAAAACTCAAAGCGTGGGAAATATCTCCGAAATCATCCGATTACTCCCAAATTCGTGCGGTAAAATTCCGGAAATGTCCGAAGTGGTTCGGATCCGTGGGAAATAAAACTGACGTGGTAAAGTGACGCCTGCCGCACGCTATATCGGTGTGTAAATAGGTATTTTACAGACGGGAGTAGAAAAAATTTATTACACGCCGATCTAACGTGTGGGAAGCATCACTTTACCACGTCAGTTTCGTGAGATTCCCAGTTTCGTTTCCCGCGGATCCGAGCCACTTCGGACATTTCCGGGATTTTACCGCACGGGTTTGGGAGCAATCGGATGTTTTCGGAGATATTTCTCACGCTTTGAATTTTGACGTTTGTCAATTCTGACGGTCATGTCAGTGGATGTATTCGTGTTGTTTTGCGAAAATATGCTCAAAAACTAAGGGTCGTAGAAAAAGTATAGTATGCAACACGTTCGGTAAACTTTTTAAGTCACTCGTTTATTAAACACTCGCTCCACTGCGCTCGGCTCGTGTCAAATAAACTCGTGAGTCAAATGCCGTTTGCCGCACTTGTTGCATAAGATACTATTATTTCCGTTGGTATTTTATTACATCAAATTGGGGAATACTAGTTTTTACTATGTCTACCCATGCTAGAGTCCGATAAAAAGTAATCTTATATTTCGAGGGGCTGTTGTATAGTGACTCTTTATATCTTCGTTAATATACAAAAGACATTTAAATATACTTAAAGAAGATAGAATAAGTAAATTCTCAATAATAAAAGGTTTCCCTCTAATTACTTTTCGTTGAAATTAAACCTATAATAAAGCCTATATAACTGATATGCCACTAGCAATGTATATTTTGGGGCAATTTTGTATAGAAATGTTATTATAAAAATGCTGGTAGTAAGTTTTGGTTGGTGAAATGTATTCATACTGAACTTCCATGTTAAGCTGAAATTCTCGAAGTTTTACACATTTATTTTCAATATTATTATCAATGTTTTTTTCATTGTTTGATAGTTCTGTATCGTACTGAAGGCGGTATAAATGGGCTATTACGGAAAAATTCAGTATAGGGTATTAAATTTGAATCCAAGCCATTTCTATTAAGAAGCCTTGAAAAACTGTCGTGTATAATATCTGGAATATTACTATTAGTGGAATAATGTTTAACTGTCACTGAGCTCATTCTTGCAAGCACTAGAAACGACCTAAGAGAAGGCCCGTTTCTAGAAAGCTTGTAAAAACAAATCGAAATCTCGATTACCAAGAGAAACGGTTTTATTAAATGCGATTGTAAATATTGTCAATTTGCGAAGCCGACTGATTAAATCCATTTCCGGTGAAACCGAGTGCGTTAAATGAAATAAACGCCATCAGCGAATTTTTATACGACCCACTCGTTAAAATAAAAACGACCCGGTACGTAAAGGAAAGTCGATGCATCTACAATTATTCAATTATATAGAACCGTCGATAAAAAATAATTTTCGTGAAAGCGTTAACTCTTCAGTTTAAATGGCGTCAAAATCCATCAAATGGGATTACTTTTACCGGCGTACCCACAAACCTACTTTATTCAATTGCACTAATGCCGGGGGTGTTGCCGCAACGAAGTTGACTTTTTCTGGCTGAATAAAATACTAATAAAATATTATAAAATGAAATGCTAATAGCGAAAAGGCCCCAGATTTCTTCGTAAGACAGTAATTGTTTTCTATTGGCTATAGAAAGTTTTAATCCAACATTGCAAATCAAAAAGTTATTCTTATGCGCATAGTTTAGTAGTTAAGTAATTTTTCCAAAAGTTTTTAACGAATTTATAATGTTTATCAGATTTCTTTGCAGGGCTCAACCTGTGATGCTAATCCTTATTCATGATGAAACATTTATGAATTTTCAGAGTTCATCTACATTAAAGCAAGTTCGATATTTTTGGAAAATAAAATTATCATGACTATTTCTAAGTCGTCTTTTATACCTTTCGCAATTATGAAGGAAAACCCGAAAATTCCGGATCCTGAACACGTAATGTTGCCTAATGGCAGGTACGGAAACTAATTTTTTCTTAGGGCAAGAATGTTATGTTTTTTTCTTATTCATTTTAGTTGAAATAATTTTTGTTGCACCCATGCAGAGGCACCTAGCAATAGTTGCTTCTAAGCCGGCGGGGACATCTTGACATATTAAAATTACTAGCCAAAGATATTACAGATTCCTAACCAAAGAATTTCGATTTTGGCTCGCCACTTACCTACAGATAACAAAGCAATCTACAGATTGCTAACCAATCAAGAGCTAAAGCTAAGTAAAACTCCCCGCCGGACGATACAAATATAGCAATACAGTATAAATAAATATTTGGCTCGACAGTTTCTAAACTCCCGATTTTCGCTGGACCTACATGTTATTTATTATAATATTCCTGTCCTTACAGGATTTTATCTGTTCAGGAACGACTTTGTACTTTCGCAATTAATAGTGCATATCAAAATTTTAATTAAGTTTAAAACAAACAGGGAAATCTGATTTGCTAAAAATGAATGACGAACCAGAAAATTTTATTCTAAGATAAATCAGTGGTGTGCTATCAAGGTCTGCCAAAATAGACCTGTTATATTCCAAACGAAGCACACTAATAGAAAGAAAAACACGTGCGGTACCCGAAAATAGCATTTTACCAATTTATTAATCGGTACCTTTGTAACTAAATGCCATAGTAGGTACCACAGATACCATCAAAAAGTAAAATATTTTCGAAAAATTTACCACTATGTCCAACTCAAAAGTTAAGACATCTAGGGCATAATAAATAAACTAGTATTTCTCTTTCGTTACAAGGGAGTCCCTGTATAAAGTCTCGCTTACCTTTTTTGAGACTGACTTTTCTCTGACGGAACTGGGTCGGGTAATAGAGATTTTTGTTGTCGATCGCCCGGGGACATTCCTCTGCAGTTTTTCAACGTTGTACGTCTGCCTCCATCCGAAAAGTTGAACAATTTTCTCCGCTACGTCGGTGCAGTTTGGTCCGTTGCTAACGGTTTGACATGTATCGAACATTTCACATTCGAAATCGCGAAACAGACGACATAATCGTTGGCGTACTTAAAACGACGTCGATTTTGCAAAAATTGTCACCACCACTTTACTGATCATGAACGGCATTTGACTTAGGCGATTCTACTTCTCGTTTTGTCCCGCGCGCACGGTTGTGAAACAAAATTGTTGATCGTAGGTAAATGTTTACCTATTATGTGCAAAGTACATTCTAAAAGTAACTGGAAATTATTTTATAAGCCGTGTCACCTGCGTCGTGCTTGTAATAGCCGCAATTTGCCTACCATTTTCGCATACCTACAATTGTCCTCCAAATAAGCAATGGTTGCAACTTTTATATACATGATAAATACTCGGTGAAGCGTATTGAAATTTAAACATCTATGGTTCCTATCATTTTTTTCCCTACATGCCCTCCATTCGGAGATATGAACACCCTCAAGAATACTATATCGAAATTAAGTTTTCTTGACCAAATACTTGACATAATTTAATAAAAAACTCATATGATGATATCTCAATTAAAAATTATATATTATTGTAGCCTAAGCCTTTATGTGAAAAAAGAACTTGAACTGAAATAAAAATATACGAATTAATATTACATTTTAATATACAGGGTCGTCCAGGTTTTATCGCACAAACTGAAACAGGTGGGAGCACAACTTTTAGCAAAAAAAATCATAATGGGTGTTTTTTTTATGTATAGAACAAGTTGGCATTACTGTTCAAGATGGCGACCGATTTAACAGCTGTCAAGTGATTTATTCTCAGTTTGGTTTGGCAATTCATCATGAATAGACTCGCGCCTGAACAACGCTTGCAAATAGTGCAACTTTATTTTGAAAATAATGGTTCTGTGCGAAATACGTATCGCGCACTACGTTCATTTTATCGTCGACAAAATCGTCCACCAGAGCATTTAATTTACCCCGTTTACTCTTATTGATAACTCGTATCCCCAGAGACGCCGTACGGTGCGTACAGAAGAAGCTATTGCTGCTGTAGAGCGTAGCATTAAGGAAGACCCGAATGAGTCCATCCGCCATCGAGCACAGGAATTGGATCTGTGTCCATCCACTTTATGGAAGATTTTGCGGAAGGATCTTGGTTTACGTGCTTACAAAATCCAACTCGTGCAAGAATTGAAGCCAAACGATCATCAAGTAAGGCGTAGATTCGTCGAATGGGCCCAAAACGAGATTGCCGTTGTTTCCGATTTTTATAAGCGAATTTTGTTTAGCGATGAAGCGCACTTCTGGTTGAATGGCTATGTCAACAAACAAAACTGCCGCATTTGGAGCGAAACTAATCCTCAAGTGCATGTCGAAAAAATGACTGTTTGGTGCGCTTTATGGGCTGGTGGAATCATTGGTCCGTACTTCTTCAAAAACGATGATGGCCAGAACGTTACAGTCAATGGTGATCGGTATAGAGCTATGATTACTAACTCTTTCATTCCTAAATTGAATAACCATGATGTCCAGGAGATGTGGTTTCAAGACGGCGCAACATGTCACACAGCTTGTGCCACAATCGATTTATTGAAAGACACGTTTACCGCCTAATTTCACGTTTTGGACCTGGGAATTGGCCTCCAAGATCTTGTGATTTAACACCGCTAGACTACTTTCTGTGGGGCTATGTAAAGTCACCGCGCTAGCCGTGGCGGTCATATGCCAGAAATCATATTTCAAATGTAATTCCACAAGATTATCTTTCGGTTAAATAAAATTCATGTCCATCGAATAATCCATCGTTGTTTTATTGCTTAACTTAAAGTTCTATACATCGAAAAAAAAAACACCCCTTATAAACATCACATCATCATAGCGGAGCAACAAGGAATCAAACTTTCATTATTTTTTCTATTAACTAAAATATTTTGATCACTTTTAGAAATTTTTTCTGGTTAATACTTTTAGATGATCATTTAGATCATCATTTTAAACATTTTAATGATTTTCACATGGTGATACGTTTTTGGTGTCAGAGACTTCTTTATTACCAAATTACACCCAATAATCAATTTAGAGGATTTTTTTTAGAACTTAAGTAAACTTTGTTTTTCAACAAATGTATAATATTTTTGTTGTGCTAATTTAAGGTCCATTGATGACATAATAAAAATATATTTTTTTAAATGACCCTTGAATTGACGGCTTTTTGTTTGTCTGCAATACGAAAAAAAAATCATTATTCATTAGATAATTCACTTGGTTCATATCTTCCTTTTTTTGTACCAATTTTGTAGGAACATTTTTTTAATTTCCCTTCATACCATATTACTCCAATGTCAAATATTTATTTCTTTGTACTGTCGTTTAGGTTAAATTGAGGGTAGGACATAAGAATGTAATTAATGGATAACATTTTTATCCAATACAAATACGATTAAATAAAATATTAACCGTAGATATAGGTAGTATATAAAGGCTTTGAGTTATCTACTAATAGTAATTATCACCGTGCATCGATCGATATAAATTTTTATTTGTATAAGAAATGCCGACAATATAATAAAAAAGCCATAATATTATACCGTACTTTCTATAGTAGTGTAAATGTCAGCATAGAAAATCAATACGGATTATTGACTGCGTATAAAGTGGTTAATCAACATTCGCAGTTAACAACGCAAAAACTGACTTTCAAGCACACGTGCGTTTGCAGATGATTTACGTAGGTATGGAAACAAGATCGATTTTAGAGGCGATAAATCTAAAATAATGAAATTCAATTCGCATTCGAGTAAATCAGTCACGTCCGTTTTTAACGGTTAGAATCGAGACCGCTCCATTCATAGAAAGCGATTTTATTAAATCACGAAAATAATTTAAGCCTTAATAAGGTTCTCTAGGAAAACAACACAAATGGTCACCACCACGATATGTACAAACACGAGGCTTCATGCAAATGCTTTCTTTACGTTTATAGATTTTTTAAATTTTAATATGGACAGTATCCAATAAAAACCTCGATTGTCACTAATCATAAAATGTTAAAATCTCAAAATAAAAATAATTGCCGATGGCTGATGTTCGGTGGCAGAAAAGCAGGTTTTCGAGTTTGATCTTCGAAAATAAAATATCTCACATTTATCTCTAAATATGATACCACTAAAATGCTACCTTAGCTGCCATTTTAACTCACAGAAAGTTAAAAAGTCGAGTATATTTATCGGGACATAGAAATGATTTGTATTAAATTAAATTTCCTTTAAATGATGATGTAACACAGAGAAACGCCATATAGTTTAAGAATAATTGCTCAATTAACGTTTAAAGAGTTTGACAGATGACAAAGCTTTATGCCGAAATCAATTCCGATGGAGGCTTGGCACTATGCCACATTGTGATAGTGTGTGAACTTTGAAGTAAATTTTGAACCAGAATCGGTCAAGTCAATTTAATTCATTAATTAATTTAATTAACTTTTCTAATTTTCTTCATTTACAAATGGGGATACATTTCGTTGAGTTTTCTGCACTTTCTTTTTATAATTTTGTGACACAGTGATTGAACAATTACTGTTAAACAAAAGAAAAAGAATTCTTAAGAATCGCGATTATTTTGCATCCCTATTACATATCGCTTTTGAAAAAATCAGTTTTCAAAATTTTGAATAACAAACAAAGTTTTCCATTAGAAAAATTTAAAATTTCGACTCTTTTTGGTGACACAGAATCATTAATTTTAAATAAGCCTGTATAGTTTTGGAATAAATTTATACAGGTAAATGCAATGTACCAAACTTTCGCACACTGCAAACAAAATTTAAGCTGCCAGAGAATGAATTAAAGTTGAAATGATGTAATTTTTATTAAACATCAAAAGAAGACAGAAAGAGATCAAAAGAAGACACCGAATCTAAAAAAAAAAAATAGTGTGCTATTTCAGTTGACAATGTGATTAGAAGTGGCAACGGTGCTTCGTACCAAAATTTAAAAAAAAGTATTTTTAGTTTTCCATAAACCTATACCATCGACCATCATAGTTACAAAAATCTGAAATAAAAAAAAAAAATGGTTTGTTTTCAAGTAACGCGATTTTGCAAATTTCATTTACTGTCGAAGACAACTTGCATTTTCAAGACGGTAACACGTGCAAAATATATTCCTGTGATGCGATTTGACGACCAAATTGTCTCGTCGGAAGACTTTCACTCGTACAACTTTCTTTGAACAACGAGAGATTATTTTAATTGCTACCAGAAACAACACAACCAATGTTTAAATAAAATTTCAGCAACCGTTAACACATTTCCGTAGGGGGTAATAAAAATAACACTACAAAAGAATATTAAACATAGATTAATAGTTTCTTATTGTGTTTGATTTATTTTAAGTATATAGGGAAACTGTTAACATTAAAAGTAGATCTTTGTTTTAATGCAAACCGTATAGAGTAAGACATAAAATGTAACAGCGTCATCCATAATTGTATTATGGAAATTCCGTATACCGTACACAATTAGTGCTCTTCATTTGGCTTTTTATGATCCATTTTTTAAAGGACATTTCCGAGAAATTTGATAGTTTTATAAGACTTTTCTTTAACCGTCAAAATAACGTACTTTCTTTCACGATATCCCATTTCACTACCTACTTAATAAAAAGAAATAATAAACTTTAGTATTTGCATATTTTTTGAGACAAAAAAAAGTGCGTAAAGAATAAATTAATTTTTGGAATGCATTCGATGCGAAAAGTGAACAGCCTTTATACACGTTTCCTGACCGCGTTTAACATAATTTCCGCTTCCTAGCCTATCTAATTAAATAGCACAATAAATATTCAAAGCCCGTTTTTCTCTATTATGGAAGAGAACTTAAGTCGTGATAATTGAATCTATGCCCGTGCGTGTGATAAAACACTCATTATCCTCGTTTCCAATTACTGCAATTTCCTTTATTAGATACTCATGTCTCGATAATTTGTTTTCTAATTGCGTCGAGCATTATTTTACAATTCACAGGAGGCACCTCGATTTTAAATTTAAAAAGCTACCGTCTTCGTCGATGCGGTAAATAAACAGCTACATAAAGATTTGAAAAATTTGATACACTCTAAAAGAATCGAAACATTTAGAGGGTCAAGTAGAAATAATAAAATTTTGATTAAGGTCTCGCATTTTGACAGTTATTCCTTAATCGGCAATCTTTAGTTCCGCAACAGTTCCTATTAAAATCACCAGAGGCCGCTCGATGGTTCCAGTTCGCTCATTGGAACAGCCTTTGCCTTTTAATAACAAATAATTTTTATGATGCTTAATTGCAAGAACGGGAAACGATTCTTGTTTTCGATGAACATCTTATGCCAATTAAGACGATTCGTTCTATCCAAATCGGATTTTTTCCAAGTAACTTGACTGACAGCGAGCATTTATCTTTTAAAAAATAACTGTTTTTTATAATAGCTTCGCCTACGAGGCAATAACTCATCAGATATATTATAAATTACCTTTGCAATTCTTTAAACACTCCATAATACGCGATCATTCATTTTTGGGAATACGAATGCGCCTGTTAATTTTATCTAGTGTTTAGTGACACCATATTTTTACATTTAATTAAATGTAATTTAATTACAATTAAATCGCCACAATTTAACTAATACCGAGTGGTTTGATTTTCGTAATCAAATCGAAATAATAAATAAATCAATATTGTTAACCTCAAACTTAATATGCACGTAGAAGTTTAACATTTCGTTCGCAGAGTAACTTAATAAATAAAAAGCTTATACCACCACCATTTATCACACAGCGCTGCTGAAAATAATCTTAAAATCCCTAAATTTCTATTGTCAACTCAGACTCCTGGAAAGTTTTGTCGTAATCCAGCTCTGAAACAGTGCATATAGTGACATTTTTTCAAAATAAAATAGTGACAAAAGTTACTAGCAACCCGGTAAGACTGTTCATATTGCAATAAACGCTTCATCCTCTATCAAAACAAAAACAGCATTATAAAAACAGAAATAATGAAAAATGTGCAACATTCCTGTCAAGTCCAAGTCCGGTACTGGGTCTATTTGCATAAGTTGCATAAAAAATAAAAAATTAACAGTTATGGCACCGGGTCGGCCTTAAATGGAATACGTAACGTTACTTTTGCAACTTAAGAGACCTGAAATATGCGCCACAAATATTCCGTTCGATTTCGAATGTTATTTTTGTGCTGTTTGGGTTTCGTTTCTTTTTGAATTAACGGATCCCCGAAACTATTTTACGTTGTTTTTAAATGGCTCATAATTAATTACAATCGCTATTTTCCTTCGAGACAGCGCAACATGCTAAAATTATAATAAGTCAACAGAGGAAGGAATAAGCAAGACACACAAATTATATGAAACTTAACGTTTCATGAAACAAAAGAGCTGTTGAGAATCTCGAATCTTCATCGTGGTGGCTTTTGCCCGCAATTATGGAAGTTACCTGCCAACGGCAATAGCACTACGGCCCGGTAGGTATTAAAGGACAGAACATTAGGGACCCTAAATTCATAGCTAGGAATATCTATACATAATTACATTTTTATTCTAAATTTCTATATCTAATTCTGTTTCACTATCAGAGTCGTCATTCAGATTAATCATACTAGGATTTATGTTGTTTTGTATAGAAATGTAAGATTCCGCAATTTTTATAATGTGCTGTACTGAATTTTTGCAGTCCTCAATTGGTATTGGAATCAAATTTATAAGACAAGGACTTAAGGTAGGAGAATTTTCTGTTCTGACCTATGAGGTTAAACATTCAATGATATGGGGGAAAATTTAAAACAGTATGTCCAGCCCATTCAGCTAATTTATATGAATTTAGGACTTCCAAAAGTTGTGCTTTTTTATAGCTGCATTCAAAATAATTATCATTTTCTAACAAATATTCCTATTTCAGTTTTTGAACTTGATGAGGCCGGTGCTTTGTGTAGCAGACTGCTGTAGTAGCTTGCGATATCCATGACAATAACACTGCTATCGGGGATAATTTTTTGAAAGAATATTTTAAAATCAATTTTCAAAAAGTTTAATAATAATGATAATAATATTTATTTCAAATTTGTTACATATTATAACAAAGTGAAATGACGTCAAACATAAGTCTGTCACAAATAAACTAACTAGCCTATTACATATTACGGTAGTCATTAAGACAATAAGGTTCTAACTGAATTAACAACTGTTTAATTTTCGTCTTCAACAAACGTTGACTCTCAATCCGTTTAATATGCAGTGGTAACTTATTGTAAAGCTTAACACACATATCTTCCGGGCCTGTTTCAGTATTTTTTTCTATTTCTCTATAACTATTTCTTAAATGCTGAAAAATGTTTAAATTTCTACGTAAAAACATTAGACATTTAAAGATGTACAAAGCGTGCATGCGTGCTGTGATACGAACATATCTTGTGTTCTACTGTGACGTACCCCGAATATTATTCCATATTTAAATACAGATCGGAAGTTTGCAAAATCAATTATTTTTAAGGTTTTAATATCTAAATACTTGGCAAGAACTTTAATTCCATTGAATTTAGTTTGTTTAGTAAGTGATTTATATGAAATGTCCAGCCCAAATTTGCATCAACTGCATCAACGAAAACGCCCAAAAACTTGACACTTTCCGAAACGTCGAATCAATTCTCCGCGATTTCTAGTTTTGTTATATTTTCTAATTTTGATTTTTTTGTTTTGAAGATTATTATGTTCGTTTTATTTGTATTAAAAATTAGTTTTTTTTATTAAACCATAGTTTTACATGTACGAAAAAACTACCGCTATCGCTTAACGATTGTGCCATGTTTTTGGTGCCAGTTATCAAATTTGTGTCGTCCACATAATTAAGGATTGTGTGACAAGCTAGAATTACGGTGATGCGTTTTCCTTTATTTGAAGGTGCTTCCGTCTGAGAGTTTGGAGTCGAATCAACCCATCCTTTGAATTTCTTGAAGGTAATTAAATCTCCAAGTGCGTAATCTTTGTGATTCCATTACTACTTGCCTTTTGTCTATTTTGCGGTACTTAAATCCCATTTTACAAACAACTCTATGGAGAGTGACTGGGCTTCTATTTATATTGGGTTTCATCTTCCTCTAGTTTCTTATTCAGCTTATCCAAGGTAGGAACAACTTCGCTCTGATAAAAACAATATGTTGTCATTCTTATTAGGTCCTGATCGCTACTGTCTATAAGGTGAATTTGAAAATCGCTACTTTTATTCCTTTTTTTCAGTTCTTCACTACTAATAATATCCGTTATCCACAATATTGGCGTGTTTGTAAGTAGACAGGTTTCTTTTAAAACTTCTTGTTGAGTAAGTCCTCTACTGAATAAAGTTTCATACACATTTTTCACAACCTGTTTTGCATCAAGCGACAAATGATGACTATACCGAATCCGGAATAGTTAATCGCTTAAGGAATTAAATACTATCGAACTCTTGCTATTTTGTCTATTAGAGCTACTATGAAAGTAGGGACAGAGATTTAGTATCCATAAATCGTGTTGCGATTGCAAAGCTGGTTTGGCAGGAAGTTGCAAGTATACACTGCTGCAGTTCTCATAGGTAGATTTAAAGAATACAATTCTTGTTTTAGGATAATTGTTATTTACAATTCCTGAAGTGATCTTAGTCAACAGAACAATTTGTATTGTGATTGAATTTAGAATCGCCAAGCTTTTTCTTTAATGGCACTTTTTTAAGCAATATCAACAGAACCATAGAAAGTAAGCACGGAACTCAGATGAAAACAGCGTAATCATTCCAAATTTTTACTTTCCATCTATATTAACATCTTTTCCGCCAGAGGTCTCACTGAATTGTAAAATCGCCAATATAAGTGTCACTCAATGTCTAATTCGATCGTGTCAATTTACTTTCTTCTATTCCAAGCCGATGCGCTTCTGATTAAAGACATCGATTGGTGCAAACAACCTTGCGGAAATAAAAATCACACGGTATGCAAACTCGGAATAAGTTGCCCAGCCGTCAAAGGATGTCAACATGCTAACGGATACGACAAACACATGAGAGATTTGTTTGTCGACTTACACAACGAACTAAGGAACAAGGTGGCTCTAGGTAAGCAGGTTATCACAGTTATGTAAATAGGATTTTATACAATGAGGTCACTAACCCCAACGTTAATTTAAAGCAACCTCATAACTATAGATGCCACAGATGGTGATTATAAAATATTATAATATAAGTTTAAAAAGGAGCAAGAGAACACATACCTTTAGAGGGGCTAAAAATTTGTTCATCTGTGCATGAAACATTAATGTAAAAGGTAAAATGATTTAAGTTATTGAAAGTTTTGTGGAAAAAACTTCTGAAGAAGTCGCTTCAAAATGTGATTCGAATACTAGGAGTACTACTTCTAGTAATATGCCTAATATACATACGAACCGGCCGTTTTATTTCTGTTAAATAATAACGAGTGAGTTCAAAATCAAAGTATCTTTCATTTTTAAATTTTAAAGTGCAAATGGCATATTTGTATCTTTAAAAATAACGGAGTTTCCTCATAAGGACCCAGGACATTCTTGATTACGAACCAGAACCCGAATATTAAAGATCAGACCACTAGGTAAAACAGCGCACAAAATAATTTTAGGTGAAGAAGAGGGAGTGCCGAGGGCGGAAGACAGGGTGGCCAATATGATGGCTCTCTCGTGGGACCATCATTTGGAATACGTGGCAAGATGCCATAACAGACAGTGTACTGCTACGCGTGACGAATGCAGATCGACGCCGAAGTTCCCCAACGTTGGTCAAAATATATTTTCAACCAATATTTCGAGTACAACGGGCCATTCTATGTCGTCGGTTGATTTGCCCAAAAGAGCTATCACGTCGTGGTTTAGAGAAATCGAATTCGTACCGTTGGAAGTTTACAAGAGATATGAAAAGACTGACCTCCCGGGAGAACAATACACGCAAGTTGTATGGGCAAAGACCACTCATATTGGGTGAGTATATTAGGAGGTGAGACATATAAGACCCAAAAACTCAAAACCGTCGTTACACCAAGTAAAGAGATTAAAACAAAAAATCTCGATGATTGTCTCTCTTAGATTTTCGAGATAGACGACCCAAAGCAAGAAAGAACAAAAAACAGCAAATCAAGATTTTTTGATTTAGATTAATATGGGAAAATAAAAAATAGAAAACTAGAGGTTATCAGAAGACGACGACATTTCACTTGAGTTCTTGATGATAGATTAGAAGAAGGCAGATAGCATTCGATCTGGGCAATAATACGATGTTATTATGATGATAGGGAGATAGATAGATTATGATTATGATGATAGAGGTCATTAAAATATTTCAAAATATGAGGTCTGCGGGAAAATATTGTCAAAAATAAGGTCTAAGTAACATGCATGGGTCAACTGATTGATAGTATGTGGCAAAATTGGTCTAGGTGGTCATTTTATAAACGTAATATTTATATATAAATATTTTGCGCTCGATGGGTTTTAATTTTAAAACAAGGTGACCCAAATATCGCTGACTTATCCCACCTAACAATTATTGCCACATTAAGTTCTGAAATTCTAAACGAACCTTACACAGTTGGAGAATTTTCTGTAAAACGCAAAATCGTCTCTAATGGCATTTCCGAAAGCAATAACGAAGTAACCTGTAATATGTTATCTTGCTAACAAAATGTCGGATAAATATTTGCCTGCTTTGAGCAAATCAGTATTCTGGCCTGGTATTTCGTTCAAGACACACCTAAGAGCTAGGTCAAAATACCCAAGCACTGCGTTAAGAAGAAAAAGAAAGGTAATAACAGAGAGCAAAGTCTCATTACCCATGGGTAGGCATCAGTGGAAAAAATGCATACGTGCAGTTTGCGAAACGTATACGTACCGCAAAATACAGTGTGTTCAATATAAAAACCTGCATGCACTCGAAGGAGATAGGCATACGGTAACACTCCAAAAATTGTCCAATGTATAATTCAATAATCTGCTGTTGAATAGGAACTAACTGAATCTCTAGTTGATATTTTTGTCCTCATGTTTTTCCTATGTTTTTGAATATCTTCTAGAAAAAAGGAAACAAAGCAAAATCCAAAGTCAATGTTTTATTTTCTAATATCTCTGAAAATAAGATCTTTTTTTTTCCAAGAGCGGATTGTTGCGAACCTGGGAAACTTTTTTGTAATTTAACCCCTTAAAGTTTTCGAATTCCTGCATTCGATTGGTACTCAATTTCATGGGCAACACTTCCTTAAAAATTAATTGAATGCTCGATGGTTGAAAAGCCGGCAATAAAATTCATCTAGCGCCCAATCATATCAATATTCGTAGGTGTTCAATGAGCCAGAAGGTTTACGCGAATCTGACGCAGTACTTTGTGGTGTGCAATTATGGAGCAGGAGGGAACGTAAAGGGCCAACCGATTTTCGAAAGGGGCACACCGTGTTCTGAATGTCAAGGGAACAGTTGCAACCGAAAGTGGGCAGGTCTTTGTGGCGACGTGGAGTTTGCCAAGAAGTGTCCGTGTGAAAAGTGAAACAGATTGAATTAAGAAAAAAAAAAGTAAAAATAGCAATAGCATATCATATTATAAATATATAATATATAATAATTGGAAACTAGATCGTCGCTGAGCGTGACACCGTATTGATTTTTGTCAGTTTCTTTAAAGTATCACCTTTATTGGGCATCCCGATAAATCTCATCGCATGATGTATTAAAATAAGAATATTTTTGCAGATTATTTCGCCGATTTTGCGGATTTTTGGTAAAGTAATTCTGCTTATAAAGGGGTGCAAAATGCGAAACTTTAAAATTTTTTATTGTTAAGTCACAGCTTCAATTTTAAATATCTTGGAATAAGAGTAACAATAACAAAGTAATAATAACAGAGTAATAAAGTAACACGTTTTTGGCATTCGTTTTGTCAACATATGTCGTAAGCCCCTTAATTTTTGAACTACAGGCTGTTAAAATTTAAGACAAAGACAAAGTTTTTTTTTGTCATAATTTTTTCTATTCAAGCATTTAGCCTTCGTGGACTGCACTGCTAAAAATAGAAAACTAATTTTTTATACCTTCACAAATAAATCACTGATAAAAATTAAAAAAATCATTTAATCGATCAATTTAATGAATAAAAGGCGTATCTAAAAATTTCATAAAGATAAAAAAGTTACTTTTTTTCACTAAAAAATTACGAGATTTACGATATATATGATGAAATTAACTTTTTTTTTCAAACCACTTAAGGACCTTTAAGTACTTAAGCCCTCAATGTATATAGCCCTTTCGTGAAGGAAGGAAAAGAAGGAAAGATTGACAGTATTATTGATTTTTAGAAAAAAAAATTGGCCCGAAAAATCTGAAATAGTTTATTTTTAGTAATAGAATACCCCGAAGTGACCTGCTTTTGACCTTTAATTTGATTATTTATTTATCCTCACAACGAAGTGACAAGGCAATTCTAGAATATCTGAACCCATATTCTATTGAACATGTTTCTGGTCTCACCTAGTTTGAACAAAAAAAAAAACATTGTGAACAGGTTTAAAATGACACCAGCAAACAAAATACGTGAGGCATATATCCGGCTATCGGTTACTTTGGGACATAGTGGCAGTCACATTTTGTGAAACAAAAGTTTCGGTGGTGCGGCCTTGTTTTCTAATTCAAATAATATGAGAAATTAACCGAGCCAATGTCGGCCAAGGTTTGTATTTACTTTGTGCGTTTGCGTAAACGTTAATTTTATGCAAAACTATATAGTGATACGTGGAAGTGGGCAAATTTACGCTGACTATATAAAGTAAAAAAAGTAAAGCAAAATTTTAACTATTTTCAATCAGAGAACGCACCAATATCATTTTAAGGAGCCGATTTTACATTTTCATTTGAGGTTAATATATAGGTATTAGTATGTATAATCATATTACGCAGAATAAAATGAAAACCTCTTGTTGGACAAAATATAGTAAAATTTCCGAAAAGAAAGAAAAGACTAACTTCTTTACCAGGTATCGTCGTTTGATTCTGAGGTCGATCGCCTCGGCATCCATCTTGCTGACACTTTATGGAAATTGAAGATATCGTGCATAATGTGCATCGAACCATGACTCATTTTAAAAACTGCACACACGATGAGAAAACTTTAAAATTCTTCACTCGACACTTGGTGGAAAGTCAACAAGTTTCTAAATTCAAAAATTTTATTTTTGTCAATTTTTAAGAATTACGTTTGACTTTGTCTATTATAGACTTGTACTTACTTACAGCTAGATAAGTAACAGTTTTTAATCCACTTGGGTTCTACAAATCGAGGATAAAGTCATTTAACTTTAGCTAATAGAAGAGCTGCGCATTTCAAAATTGAATTGAATTGATTATAGGCCACTGTGTTACCGGATTTGGCTCCGTTAAAATTTTGAGAATCTCTGCGGGTGTAGTAGTTATGGTTAGATTCGTTGCATTCATTTTGCAAATGCATTTCTAAAAATATAAATTAGGATAAGAGGTTGGAATTTTATCAGCAATTATCGAATTCGTCAGATTTTCAATAACAGTACTTGTAAACAATACAATAAAGTACGCACTTTTTGACTGTCATTTATGTGGGTTACGGAAACATTTTTCGACAATTTGGCACGGCATTTGGCTCCATTCGCATTCCTTTTTTTATTAGTTTCGTCAGACGGAGGGAGCCATCTTACTTTCAAATTCCAAGTCACTAGTCGAACAGAAACCATTGTAAAACACAAACTGACCGTAAATTAAAACAATAAAATTGAGGCCTTCTGTACGGTTTCTCGAACGGATAGGTAATTAAATTTGAACTACATAATTCAATTATTCTTATTAGGTAACGAGAAAGGTATATATGTATAATCAATTTGACCATAATACGGCAATTTTGAGAGTTTCCTCACTAGTAATGTTTAGGTATTAAAAAACTGTAAAAGTCTTTAGTAAATTTAAAACATGGCGGATATCGTAGAGCTTAGAACATCTACGGTTCCTGTGTCTACGTGCATGCCGGTAGACATGTGACGCATGTAAAAAATTCTCGTCATTTTCTAAGTACTTAATCGTTTGCGGACGTCGACGCAAATGGATTAGGATACTTAATGATCTAAAAACAAAAGAACAATTAAGATAAGATTGTAAATCGCTGACACCATGTTTTAAATATACTCGGTGCCAAAAATTTTGGCGCAGTTCATCTAGATAACGCCAGCTAATTTACGTTGAAAGTAATATATTGAAGAAAGGTAACTTTCTTTTCTTTTAAATCGCAAACGAACCCAACAAACCTGAACATATCAGTGACTTTAAATCCATCCGTTGATTAAAACATCTTTTGGAATCTGAATATCTGTTATTGGGTTTTCACCTATAGGTGTATATTTTTTAACCCTATTAATTATAATATACTATCATGGAATAACAGAAACAAGTGTAAATACGACAGTTCCATGTTTTTTAACAACCTTTTGATTATTCTCGTTTCAAATACATGTATAAAAACATTCCATCAATTAATCAATGTAACATTTCTTTTTCACTCTCTACTTCAAAATATCCAATTATGCAGGGTTCAAGCGTGCGGAAAGTCATTAGACATGAGTTTGGGAGCGATCAGATGTTTTCGGTTGATTTTAGTCATGGATATTTTGACGATTGTCAATTTTTATTGTCACGTCACTCATGTATGTATGTATTAATTTTTTCCTGGTGTTTTCAACAACGTTTCATTAAACTCCTCACTAAAGTGGTGTTTATCAAACTTGTTACATAATATACTATTAAAATGATCAATTTATGGTAAATACGTTACTACAACATTTCAAAATATTCCGTTTCACGTTTTCTATTCTAAATTCCATTTAACATACACAAAAATAATTTTATAAATTCAATTTATACGTTCAAAATTTTTGTCACAATATGATAGATAAAATACCTAGTTAAAAAAATCCACAATTTTCATAGAATATAAAAATGTAATTATAGCCATTGAAAACAACAAATTTGTTACTTGCTTGGACTCCTTTTCCTCAGATTGGCACTATATCCAATCCACTTTTCCACTTATTCGTATACTTTTAATAGGCCAGTTACGGGTGATCTCAATAAAAATTTAAAGTGTGAATTTAAATAATAATAATGATGAAATAATTGTTGGTAACTCAGATGAGAAGATAGAAATGAGGGCAGTGTAAGTTATTTGGTAAACTAATGGAATAATATTTTTCGGGTAGTTGATTCCAATTCAATCCCGGTTTGATTTCAGAACGTTGTTAATAGAAAAAGTCAAATCCTAAAAACATTTTAATCACTAGAGAGTAATTTTTTTCTTTTAGTTAGTTATACTTCTCAACGATTAGTTCTAACACTTTGTTGAAGCTAGGTCCGTTCATAAATTTTCTCAAGACGATAATAAGCTCAAATATGACAGACAAAAGAAATACAACCACAGTCTAGTATTCAAATAATGTTCTATTAAAATAATATTTCTGATAAAAAACAAAATATATAGATAACGTGATAGTAAGTTGGGCTTAAAAATATTTTCTTCAGCTAATTGTTCCCGTTTTAAAATATATAAATTAAATTAATGTTTATTATAAAAACGTTACTAGATGTTGGCGACCATTACAAGCAGAAGGACACCGACCTATATATTCGGATTGGCAATACAATTGCGAAACGCATGAAAACGAGTAAACGTACTATTTAATTTCCGACTTTCACTAAAATTGTCAGCGACGTCCCTTGTTCCGACACTGTGTCCTGTCCGGTCAGTACTACGAAGGACGTACCTACGATTCGCGCACCACGTTTGTCCACCTGTCGAATCGAACCTACTCGCGTACTCGTACCTCCGCCGCCGATTCGAATGAGACTGATTGTAGCGCCAGTTGAACCAAGTGGGGATAAACTACCATACCAAACTCCATTACTGACTAGATAGAATGGGACTATGTGGTCCATCGATTTTGCTACTGTAGTAAATATTTGCAATTAAAACGGCCGCCGATTCACCTCGTCTACCCTAATATTTATCAGTTGTTTTTAATGGCGGTAAAACGTTTGACAATGTTTGACTGTTCCTCAAGAGTTCTATATACCGATATTTAATTTAAAGTTTTTGTAACCGTTTTAATTTTGTTATTTATTTGGCTCTTTCCCCTAATATATTTTGACAATTTGAGTACGTAAATTATTTTTGATTCAACTTAATCCCGGATTAATGATATCATTTTTTCTGTAATGTGTGTCAAATCCTAAGCAAAAGTTAGGAACAGGAAATTTTTCGGACCAAGATACGGTAAAATCGACTTATATGTTATAGTTATTAGGTTTTTAAACACCCTAGCTTCAAAAGTGATATTTAATGTGAAGTTTCATATTATATTTTTAATTTCTAAGATTCCCCTGATTATTTTTGGGCAATTTGATGTAGGTAAGCTGTTTTTGATTCAACTTAAACTCGAATTTATATACAGGGTGATTTAAATTGGGGCGTTTTAACAAAAAAAACAAGGAACAAGATACAGCCAAATCGACTTATCCATTATAAGTTTGGTTATACATTATTCAAAAGGGCTCAATATGGACATTTTTTAAACACCGTAGCTTAAAAGTTATATGCAATGCAAAGTTTTCATACCTTATTTATATTTTTAATTTTTAAAGGTGTGCCGAAATGATTTCTTTGTGGCTCTTTTTCCTGATACTTATTGCGCAATTGGATGTAGGACAGCTGTTTTTGATTCAACTTAAACTCGGGTCATGTTTTCGATCATACTTTATTGAAAAGGGCTCAACCTAGACCATAAAATCTATAGCCCACCTGTGATTACCATATAATAAGGAAGAGAATTATCGAAAATATAGAGTGCCCTAATAATGTTTTTATATGTAACTTTTATTTTTAAAAATAAAAATGTTATCGACAATTAAAAATTAAAGAAACCTTCTATACATTTATCAAAAATCGAACCAATAGTAAGTAAGTTGAGTTTCCTGTAGCTATTTCAAGATCAGATCTTTCCTCTTAATACGTAAGTCGTAAGGTAGACCTTTCATCTTTCATTGCTCCATTTAGATATTTCTGCCGTTACCTGGTATGAAATAAAATAAATACACGGGAGACTTCTGAAATAATTATTTCCATGCTGGATAAGCTGCTAATTCAGACCTTATTGGACTTGGAAAATGTGACAACATTGAATATTTGAGTTAACATATTTTTTAATACCGATGGCATATCAAGCCTCTCTCCCTACAGAGAGACATTGTAGCTCAAAGAAAAAAATGAAAACTAAATTTTCGTTTTTTCGCAGTTAGATGCAACTGATATTTTGACAGCTCTCGTAAAAAATTAATTTTATTAAATAATAAAAAGCGACCAATCAAAATAAAAACAATTATCCCAAACACATTATTTCTATGATATGATGAGTCGCTTAAAAAAGTTAAACAAAACTTTGTATGCAAAGTGGATGATCGATTTTTTGTAAATACATTTTTTTGAATATTTGAAAATTTAGGAATATTAGCCAGAAATATTTGGTCTATGACTAAGAGAAAACAGTATTTATGCAACAAGTGTGGTAAACGGCTTTTGACCCTTGGTTTTTGGCTACATTTTTGCAAAACGGATACATTCACTAACATGACCGTCGGAATTGACAAACGTCAAAATTCAAGCACGGCGTCCAAAAACATCCGATTGTTTCCAAATCCGTACGGTAATATCCTGGAAATGTCCAAAGGGGCTCGGATCCGTGGAAAACGAAACTGACGTGGTAATTTTTTTTCTATCTAATTATACAGATTATTATAATTATATTAATATAATGATAATTATTATAAATACAAAGTGTCATTTTACCATGTCAGTTTCGTTTTCCACGGATCCGAGCCACTTCGGACATTTCCGGGATATTACCGCACGGATTTGGGAGCAATAGGACGTCTTCCAAATTTATATTTTATTTATATATTATATACACTTGTTGCATAATATACGAGTACAGAAGAAAGTAGAAAAACACCATTTTGAAGTTTTAAATTAGCAGCAGATGTAGCAAAGAAAATCTGATAAATGGAAAATTGCAAATAACCGACGTAAATTTCGAAATTTAAGGAATAAATTAACTAACAAAGCATTTGAAGGCTATTCGAGAACGTTGTAGGTATGCAAAAATACTAAGACATCAAAACATGAATTAGAAAGTAAAAATCTGTGAAAATAGCAAAGCAATATATTATGACGTCCCGGTGCATCCGCCATAACAATAAAATATATAAATAAAAGATTACAAATTTTATAAAAGAAGATTTGTTAAAATACTATAACAATTTGCAATAAAAGACAAATCAGTGATTAGTAATTCCGATGCTAAAATCGGATTGCGTTATCATATACAAGCCGAAACTGAATACATGCTTTCATATGGCGAATGCGCCGGGAAAGGCGAATAATTATTAATTTAATGTTTTCAACTTAAAACATTTTATTTATTATCTGACGCCTTGAAATTGAAAATACATTTTCTTGGCTTAAAATCTGTCCAGCTATCGATGAATCTTATTAGATTTAATCACAATCACAATTCATTAAATAAGGTCAACTCCAACAAACTCTGCTGCAATTTAATGCACAATCGGTATTGGTTTCAATTAATGGACATGTGGCCCATTGTTAGAATTGTTATGCAATTTTCAAGCTTCCCCGCAAAAGCCTCAGAATTTGCTACTATGAATACAGTTATTTTTATTTATTAATTGATTAGGTTCTCGCTTAAAAGTCATTATTAAAATTGTCTATACCTATTTCAAAGGAAAACTGTATGGCATCACTTGTACTAATCTTTCGTGATTTAGTTTTAGACCAAAAAGTTGGATCGATTCCCGAGGACGAAGGTACGTGTCTGAAACGTTCGTGTTTAAATTCTATAAATCGCAATCTAAACATGCCGTTTCTGTTGCAATTAACGAGCTGAGTGTGATTCAAGACGATTTAACAATTTTGTAACAAAAATATTAAAACTTCTAACTGTATAATTTGCGATGGTTTTTAAGTCTAGGTTCATTAAAAGTTTATCTACTAGACTGTTATCTTCAATTTTCAAATTATATTCTGTTAGTTGAGACTCCTGGATTCGACAGTGGACACCTCAAAACATTTAACAAGAATAGTGTGTATATTTTACAATGTTTGATTTCCATGTGTTATTGTAAGTTATTTTTCACTAAGTTTACCTATATCCTTTCTATCCCCTATAGCTTCGAATTCTTCATCTAAAAAATAAAATTGATAATGCTGTCTTACATATATCAGATTTAAATGCCCCAATAATTACTCATAAATGTAAAGATTTGATAATATATTGGTTAGATACAGGGGTTAATGGTAATTATTACTGTGATTATGTGCGGTCGAAATTTAAGGCCGAATAAAACCGACATTAAAAAATAATTGCAGCCAAAAAAGATTAGCATAAGAAATAGGAAATTGTAACATATAACAAATACGCAAATTTTCCAATTGAACAATCCCTAAATATCTGAGACATATAAAATTGTGGTGTGGTGACAAAAAAACGAGATTTGGGAAACTTTAGAGGTGTTTTTCATTGAATATCAACTGCGAATCGAATTTAATTTTTTAATAATATCCGAGAGTTTACTATGTTTTTTTATACGTTACTTATTCATTGCATATTGTATTATATAGGGTGTTTCAAAAAAAAAATCAATAAAAATAAAATAAAATAAATGCGAAAAACTTGTTTCAAATAATATGGCTCAAAAATAAGGTTTTAATTTTTTATTTGGAAACAGAACACTAAAGTACTACGGAAATGTTACTATTATAAAAACAAACTTTCTGCATATTTTTGAATTCCTTTAAAATGGGTACAGTAATAATAATAGACCGGTTAATTAGAAACTTTTTTGTCTCTTGCAATTTTTTCACAAAACTTCCAGTCTAAAAATAAAAAAATAAAATTATTTTAGAAAAATAATTTAGTTGGGTGCTGTCAAGCAGTTGTATTTTGTATGTGTGTTGTAGGTGTAGTTGTATTAATTAAATTAAATTAAACAATTACATTATAAAAATAATTTATTAATTATTTATTGAAACTAATTTGCTTATTTATCGGTAATGTTAAATAAAGCAATTATAAGATGTTTTTTATCTCATTAGAGGTTTTTAAAAATTATTATTGCATAAGTTATTTCTTAAATTTAGTTAAGAAATATGGTAGGGGTAATCTATTACAATTACCTGCAGGCATTAAAAAAAAACAAAAAAATTGCAGAAAGTGTGTTTTTATAAATAGTAATACTTCAGTAATATTTTTTTATTCTATTTTTTTTGTTTTTAAGATATAAAAATGAAAACATTATTTTTTAGATCTGTTGGTTTTTGACAGAACGTATATATAAGAAACCAACCTTCATTTTGAACAAGGAATAGTTTCGTTTTCGCATTTGTTCTGAAAGACCCTCTATACGAGGTCAAATAATTGGTAAACTAATGAGAGAGATGATCAAAAAGTGGCCAATCTGAAACCTCACAAACCAGAAGTCACAGCTGTATGAAAATATTTTAAAATTACTGCGGTATTATCATTATTATTACTGTTATTATTAATATTATCAACATGAAATAGAATTATTTGTACCCGACCAACAACCTAGTGAATGTGTTTTCCGATGTAGTATAGATATTGAAATATCCGCACACCAACTGCTACTCTCGATTTTTTTCTTTGCTATTTTGCATTCTACCGCAAGCAAAATGGTCAACGAATTATCAAAATAAAAACAAGTTTCGCATCATTACTCTATTTACAGGCTGCCTTTGC